TTTCAATATGAAAAAGTAGAAAAAAGTTTATGCAATGTAAGTGCAAATATCTTCTTCAAAAATATATCTCTCTTTTAAAATTGATATTGATAAATTAAGCACAAAGAGAAATGAAAAAAATTTTGATAAGAGAAAAGATTCTAGAAGTTTAATCAAAAAATCAAAGTTTTTGCTATGAAAAAATGAATGTAAAAATGTAAGTTCAAAGAATATTTTTCAAATGAAAAACTTTGATGAGTAGATTTTCAAAAGTTAATTTGATTAAGAATTTTTCAAAACTAAATGATTTGATAATAATAAATGAGATGAGATGGATATAATTTTACTCAAAAATATCTCATTTGAATGCTTTTAAGCGTTGAAATGAATAGCAAATGAGTTGGTATTTATAGCAGTGAAAAAGAACAAAAATCTGCCCAACCGGACGTTCGGAACTCATCTGGACCACCAATTAGCTGTTACGGTTTGAACTGTCAAAAAACTGACCGTTGGGGNTTTTTTGTTGTTGTTGTTAAAAGAAATATGATCTAAGTTCAAGTATCACTTTGAAAAATTAATTTTACTTTTGATCAAGAATATTTTATGCAAGTGATATGAAAATAACTTTTTGTTCACAAAATGATTTTTGAGCTATTGTCATTCATTACTAAAGATCAAAGTCTTATACTTTTACATATGATCTCAAAAGCCTAGTCCATGATCTTGCTTCAAAGTTTCTTTCATGTTTGACTATTAAACTCTTGATCTTGATACTATTGGCTAAAGATCTTAGTTTAACAGATATTTAGGTTGAGGCAGATTCGACTGTTGCAATTCACTGCATCATCAGAGGTGGTGGACTGTGACCTATCCAGGGGATACTCAGTCAGATTGCAGATATCATTTTATTTGACAGAGATATGGTCTCCTACATCTTCAGAGAGGGAAACCAGTTGCAGATGCAATTGCTACCGAATGTTGGCATCATCGTAGATACCAGGAATATGGACTAGCCGACCTACCAGGGGGGGAGCCACGTTAGGCCCAAGATGGGCACAGGCCCATCCTGAACTTCTGGCCTGAAAAAATTTTGGGCTGATTTTTTTTTTTAGTTATAGGCTGTCCCGTCCCAGCCCAAGAGAAACAGCCCAAAACATTGAGCCCAATTCCAAATTTTTAAACCACGTTCACAATTCATATCACACAATTCCCCTCCTCTGCTCGACTGACCTGTGACCTCTCCACAGCTTCGTGCCTCTCCTCTGCCTCCGCCTCCACCTCCACAGACCTCCATCTCCACAGCTCCACTTAGTCACTGACCTCCACAGGACCATAGCTCCATTGACGTCTTCGCAGCGCTCAACAACCGCCTCCACCACCACCTCCACAGCTCAGCAGAAGTGCAGATTCGCAGAAGGTAGAAATTTTTTTTTTTGCCTTTCTTTTCTTTTCTTGTTTTCCCTGACCCCCTTAGAGTTTTTTTTATGTTGGTTAAGAAAAATGAAGCCTTTAATTTATGCGATTTTGATTTTCCTCCAGGCTCCTGCCTCCGACTCCAAGTTTGCCAGTCCGCCCGAAATCGAATCAGGTAGTTCTTAATTTCTTTAGGCTTGGATTATTGGTGATGGTAATTCGTTGCTTGAGTGATTGAGTCTAGAGATAATATTGGAATTGTCTCTGCTCCTGAATCCCTGATAAAATTGCTACATTTTGCTTTTGGCTTGGGTATTTCATATTTGCTGTTGCCTGCCTGCTAGCTTGCGATTTGGAATTTTGTTCTTTGTTTTTAATACTACATTTTTGGGTATTGTTGTGTTGTGTGCAGTAGAAATTGGCCAATTGGGTATTGTTGAAATTGGGGTTAAGGTATTTTTTGGGTATTTTGTTCACTGTTATGCTGAGTGCTGAGTAAATTGGGTATTGTTGAGTTGAAATTAGTGAAGTTTGGGCATCGTTGAGTTGAAGTCTGTTTGGATATCGTTGAGTTGAAGTTGGTGAAG